CCCCCGCCAAGCAGCAGAATATAAATCGTCAAAAGCAGAGGAGAGCACAGTCATTGCAGGAGGCCCTGCCCAGAGCCCCCACCCTGCTCAGCTGTGTGACCTGGGCAAGCAGCTGAACCTCTCTGTGCCCCACCTGTCCAAGGTAGGATGGCATCTGCCAATTTACCAATCCCCCCATTCTCTCCCCTTGTACCCTCCTTCCTCCTATGGGAAGGGGCTGGCACCTGTATTTCCACCCCCACAACAGTGCTAAAATCCTTGGCCTGGGTTCTTCTCACCAGGGAGGGAAAAAGAGAAGAAGGGACGTGTCTGTGCCAGCCTGCTCTCCAGGACAGCAATGCCCTCTTCCTCTGCTTCATGCTCACCTGACCTGGAGGCCCTCACACTCTGTGGCCTTAAACAGCCTAGGGTGGTGACTGTACCTGCCAGTCTCATTTCCATGCAGCCACCTGCAGGGAAGACACCCCCCACCAGGGCCCATGGCACAGGGAGGCAGTGCTTTAGGGAACTCAGGCAACCTGGGCCCAATCCCAGCTGCATTATAAGCCTTAGTTTCCTCATCTACAAAATGGGCATGATGCCTTTGCCCACTCCCAAGTGATTATGGGGATCCAGTGAGTTTACACGTGCAAGGTTTAGGCCTGGGCTAGATATAGAGCACGTGCTCAAGAAACACTGGCCACCCTTCTGTCCCCATCCAGAGGCCCTGGAGAGGGGGTGGGGTAGCAGGCAGAGCCATAATGGTGGGTCCACAGGAGGGGGCAGGGCCTGACCGTGCAGTTGTACTTGACGCAGTCATCCCAGAAGCGGCTGGCTGAGAACTTCTTGCGGAGGACAACGGTCAGTCCGTAGAGAAGACACTGCCCCACACCCAAGATATTCCCTGCAGAAGACAAGCTTGGTGAGGGGTCCCCAGTCCCCTGCCCCACCCCTGCCCAAGCTGCCCCATGGTACCTGCTGTGTGGTACAGGGGCAGACAGTCGTAGAGCACATCTGCCGCCTGCATGCTGTAGGCATGGTGGCCAAAGGCTGCGATGCGGTAGTACCTGCGGGGGCAGGGAGTGCAGGGGCTGGAACTACATTCCCCAGGGGATGAGACTGGGTGAATGTGCTGGAAACTGGGGATACGGCAGGGACTCAGGAAGAGCCAGCCCAGCTCTCAGAGGGCTGACTGGAGAGGCACATGCAGCAAATAAAGAAAAACTGTCCATGGTGCTAGGTGCCCTGAGGGATATAATAGAGTGAAGAGACAAAGAGGGGCTGAAAGTGACACAGCTAGGGAGGTGACAGCGGAGACCTGGTGAGAAGGAGCTGAGGAGGCGAACTAGGGAAGGATGCCCAGGTGGTGGGCATAGCGGAAGCAAAGGCCCTGAGGCCAGAAGAAGCCTGGCCAGTTTGAGAAAATGTGGGGGGCCAAGAAGGGAGTGAGCAAGGAATGGAGAGAAAGAAAACAACATCAGAGAAGTGGCAGAGCCACACAAAATGAGTAGGGGCTTTATTCTGAGGACCAAGGCAGATAAAGGGAGGTTTGGCACAGGGGAGGTCTGATTTAGGATTTTACACCCCACTGTGGCTGCTGAGGGGAGCAGGGCCATCAGGGGCAGCAGTCGGGGCAACAGAAGGCCGAGGAGGGGCTGGGGCAAGTCCAAGTAGAGTGGGGGTCTGGGGATAAAAGTGAACAAATTGAAGGGAAAGGCCCTGCAGAGCTGGATGGGGGAAGAGGTGAGGCAATGAGGAGCCCCGGAGCAGCAGGCATAGGGCAGCACTACACCCTGAGATGGGCTGTGAGTTTTATGGAATTGGGATCAGGATGCCCTTAGATCCCAACAGGAGCTGGGGTTAGGGGGTCAGACTACAGAGATGGCCTGGAGGCACTCACCAGGCTAGGGGCAATGCCCACGGGCCCCTCACCTGCTGTGCACGACAATAGCGGCCTTGGGCATCCCTGTGGTCCCCGATGTGTAGATGTAGAAGAGACGATCTGCAGGAGATGCAAGTGTTGGGGACTGGGTGCTGGATGGGTGGGATGAGGGGGGCCCCACCCTGGACTCACCGTCCATGCCCTTGCCAGGGGACTGGGCTAGGGGAGCTGTGGACGCCTCCTTCAGCATGGGGTCCAGGAGCTGGGTATCTGGCCAGACGCCCTCAGAACTCAAATCTCCAGAGCAGAACTTGAGCAGACTCTTCCCCAGCTGTCCACTCACCTCAGCCACCGCTGCAGCCCCAAACAGATGTGTCACAATCAAGGATGGGTAGGCCCTTCCCAAGGCCTGGGATGCACGGTCTGACTGCCCCGGGCAGCCCTAGGACCCTGCCCGAGATGATGCCCGCACCCAGCCTCACCCGCTGCTAGCTCCCCTCCGAAGATGAGGGCCTTGGCGCCTGAGGTGCCCAGGCAGAAGGCCAAGGGCTCATGCCGCAGGTTGACATTGAGCAGAGCAGCCTCCACGCCCATCTTGGCCAGGCCCAGCCACAGCCCCACGAACTCGGGCCGGCCCTCCAGGAAAATGGCCACCACGTCGCCTGGCACAAGGCCCAGCTGGTGGAAGACGTTGGCCACAGCATTGGAGTAGGCATCTAGCTTCGCGAAGGTCCAGCACACGCCGCTGCCTGCATCCACCAGGGCCAGGCGGTCAGGCTGCTGCTGCGCCACCACCTGGAAGATCTGCGGGATGGTGTGGTGGGCGCGCTGGTGCCGCCACAGCTCCAGGCGCACACGGATCAGCACAGAGAGGCCACTGGGAAGGGGGATGGAGGGAACGGCATCACTGGGTGCCCAGCAGGGCCCCAGGAGACCCCTCCCCAAAGCCTCAGTATCCCCATGTGGAGAAAGTGGAGAAAAAGGTCCCTGTACCCGCAAGGGTTCAAAGAGGGTTCAAGGAGGACCCTTTGGTTGCTCCGTCTCTTGGGAGACCAAGGGCCATTTACCAACCAGCCCAGAAGGAGATGGATTCTCAAAGCTGGCCGGGCCATGCAGTGCAAATCAGAGTCACCCTGTCCTCTTCCACCCAGCTTGCTCAGTGACTCTGAGGGAGCCAGAGCCTAGTCCTGTCTTCATTTCTCTCCCCTGGGACATCCCAAGTACCCCAAGATAAACCCCTACCACCTCCAGATGGGACTCCTCGTGCTCCACCTGCACCAAACAGGTCCCAGGGTCCAACCCTGAGCTGGGCAGCTGCTTCACCCCCATGACACTCAATGGCACTAAGCACAGATGGTTTCTATCCCAGGTGGGGTCAGAAGACCTCCTGGCAAGATAGAGGGGATGCAACTCAATGAGCATTTGAGGTGGGTGTGTCTCACTCTTCCTTCCCCACTTGCTAGTGGATATGAGGTGATCAGAAGCCGCAGGGAACAGGACCCCCAACAGATGTAGCCGGGTCTCTCAGTGACCATGCGGAGTTGAGCAGCCACAGATACCAGGCTGTCAGATGAGTGAGAAATGAACCGTTTGTTGTTAAGTAAAGAAAAATTGCTTTAGATCAGAGAACCAAGAAATCTAGAATTTCTTGGTACAACAGCTCAAGAAACAAATGGTTACCCTGGCTTTATGTGGCACCTCCCAGATTCTCTGGCTCTGAGAGGCAACCTTGAGCTCGAGTTAAGCCACTGACAGTGGGGGCTGCTTTGTTACAGCAGCTTGCTCTCCCCTGACCAATACAGGTGTGGTCTAGACTCTGCCCCCGCTTAGGCCTCATCTGGTCAATGTGTCCCACTAGCTTCAGTGTCAAATTCATTATCAAATCCATTTTTTGTACCCAGCTGCCTCCCCCATGCCTGCAATGGGTGCGATGGCTTCCTTACATCTCTGGACTCAACATGTCCACAGTGGACCTCAGCACTGACATTCATTCATTCACTCTCCCTCCTCCATTTACGCAGGCAGCTGATATGTACCAACACCTATTGTGTGCTAGGCAGTTTTCAGCTCAGAGACGAACAGATCTGACCCTCAGGGGCTCACAGTTCTCCCAGGAGAGACCACCTCCTCATACATGAATGAGCACGAGGAGAGCGTTGACTGGTGACAAGACCCTGATAGGTGATGCAGTCAGAGTGATGTGGACAGGGGCAGGGGTGGGAGTGGCCCTAGAAAGAGGCAGGCAGGTGACATCTGAGCAGTGCCTGGCAAAACAAAAAGAAATAGCCATGAGTAAAGATGGGGGTACAGCCAGCCAGTGCACAGGCCCTGGGGTGGAAATGAGGCACATTTGAGAACCAGAGCAGAGGTCAGTATGGCCAGAATTGGGTGAGAGGAAGGTGGAGGGAGACAAGGTGCTCAGTGGGTAGGCGGGTCTGTCAGAGGAGAGGATGTACAGGCCTGCCAGTATCTGCAGTTTTTAAAAACAAAGGTTCAGGGCTCTGATGACATTTATGAGACTTCCTGCTTGGGTCACACTGCTTACCCTGGGGGCCCCTGGGAGTCCCTCCAGCTGTTCCTGTAAAGGACCAGGGTTATGTGGTCCTGGTGACTCTACTGAACCCAGCACCCAAACGCATGCTACCCACCAGCACACTAAGCTATGCATAGATGCATATGCCTACCCTTTCACTGGGTTCCTCCCAGCATCCTCGCTACCTCACCCAGGAAGCCTTCCAGGGGTGGCCCATCACAGCATAGATTCCCCCAAATGGGATTAGACTGAGTCAGACTCACACAAGAGGTGAGAGTCATTCCCAGCAGGGAAGGGAAGCGGGTGGAGGGTGGGGCAGGCATTTGCTGTTTGAGGTAGAGGGCTTAGAGTCTTTCATCTCAAAGCTTGTGTGACTCATAAAAAAGTAAACATTACAAGTGAAAGTGGAAAGAAGAAAGCACCAGGTGAGGAATAAGATGAAGAATGTGCACATTTGTGGGCACAGAGAACAAAATGAGGTCTGTATAGATTTCCATAACCATATCTTGTGAAAGAGACCCTGAGGAGGGAAACTGCAGAGCTGGGGGCAGCTAAGAGAGGGGACAACTTTGACAGCACACCCCTCTAGAACATTTGAATTTTGTACCATGCATTATGTACTAACTACTACAAAAAATAAGTAAAGACGTAAAATATTAAAAGCTAGCTGTTTATACATCCACCTCCCTGGTCAGATCCCCACAGCTCATTCATTCAACTAATAAATAAAGTAGCTAAGATGAGCAGCCTCTGTATTTATTGAGCACCTACTATGTGCTAGGCACTGTGCTAACCTTAGGGCTAACCTCCAAAGTAGGGTCCTAAGATCCCCATTTGTCAGATGATGGATGAGTTGGGAGCTCAGAGAAGTAAATTAACACACACAAAGTCACACAGAGAGTTGGGGACAGAACAACCCAGAACCAGGCCTCTTAGCAGGGTTCTTCTGCTCCTCCTCAGGCTGGTCACAAAGGTAGGCCAAGTGCCCACAGTGCACACAGCAGATGCTCAATTCATGCTTCTTAAAGGAGAGGCGTTATACAAGGATTGTCTTTACAGATGAAGGAGAACCAAGGTCCACAGCTAGACACACCGTCTCTGGCTACCAAACTCCTAATCACCAGCTTACCTAGCCACCAAGGCACCCATTGCTGGCTGATGGCAATCAGCACTAATGCATCTGAGTGCCTACTGTGGGCCCAGCTCTCCTCTTAGAGCTTCCTCGATAGAGCAGCCCAAGAAGCCCATGAGGGGGTACTAGTGTGACAGCCATGGGGAGAGGGCCATCAGTGAGGCTGGAAATCAGAGGAAGCACACCCACACAGGCAGGCAGTGGACACAAGTACTCAGCTCCAGCCACATGCCTGGGCAGCAGCCCAAGCCATCCCCACCCTGGGGACAAAGAGGCTACTCTCTGTTTCTGGGCCTTTCCCAAGGCCTCTTCTAGTCACTCTGTCTCCTCCTATTTTCACTCAGGGCAAGAAGAAACCAACAAGGTTAAATGTGGTCAAATTTCATACTACGATTACAGGATGAATTGGGAGACCTGGAGCAAGGTGCTTAAATATTTTCTGAACATCTGAACACAGGGTCCAAAGGCAGCCCCCACCACCACCCCAGCACAGCACAGCAGCTAAGAACACAAACTCTGAAGCCCTAGCTGTGTGTTCCCAGGCAAATGACCTCACCTCTCTGTGCCTTGGTTCACCAACCTGTAAAATGGGGTTCATAAACATTCCTTCCTCATAGAGCTGGGAGAGCATTACATAAGAACAAGGCCTGGCACACGGAGAGGGCTATACAAGCTGCATTAGTCAGCTACTGCCATATAACAAATTACCACCAAAACTACCACTGTAAAGAACACTTATTATCTCACAGTTCCTGTGGGTCAGGAATCTGGGAGCAGCTTAGTGGGATGGTTTTGGCTCAGGGTCTCTTTTGAGGCTACAATCAAAATGTCAGTTGAGGCTGTAGTCATTTCAAGGTTTCACTGGGAGAGAACTCACTTCCAAGTGGGCCTCTCTCAGAGCTACCTCACATGGTGGCAGCCAGCTTCTCCCAGAAGTGACCCAAGAGAGGACACCCAAGATAGGAGCCTCAACCCTTTTTATTACCTAATCTCATAAGTAATATCCCATCACTTCTGCTGTGTTCTATTCATTAGAAGTGAGTTACTAGGTCTAGCCCACACTCAAAAAGAGGTGATGAGGTGAAGACCAGAAGGTAGGGCCATCTGCAAGGCTGCCTCCTACAGGAAAGTGTGTCAAGCCTTGTGTCAAAGATTCGGAGCAGACCCCACTCCTGCCCTGTTGCCAGGGCAGACAGGGCCAGGCATGGATACCCCAGACTCCATAGGGCAAACCTGGGGCCTGGGCAAGCCCAAGGAGGTAGGGAGGGCCTGCCAGCCATGCTCCTGTTGTGTGCGAACCTGAGTGGAAGCCAAGGCCACAGCGCCACAAAGAACAACACAGTCTCCGTCTGAGCCCCCATAGGGCCCACAGTCTAGTAGGGGGAGAGAGACTCAAGAATTAAAAGGCAAGAAAGCAGTCACATTAGATAGTTACTAGTGTTTCAAGTCAAGCTTTGGAGCTGCACTGCCTGGGTGCAAATCTTGTCCCCACTACTTGCCACCTGTGTGACCTTGAGCAAGTGACAAAACCACACTGTACCTCAGTTTGCTCATCTGTAAGATGAGAAGAGAGTACCCACCTCATGGGGTTATTGGGAGAGCTTGACGGAGTCATGCTTAGCGCAGCACCTGGCATGGGGGAAGCACTCTGTAAATGTTAGCCATTCTGCCTAAGAACAACAAGGTTGGGAGTGGGGAGGTCTACAGAGACACAGTGTCAGGGAAGGGCTCTCAGAATGTGACATTTAAGCCATGGCATGATGAAAATGAAGAACAGGGGAAGAATGATCCAGGCAGAGGGAACCGCAAGTGCAATGGCCCTGGGGCTAGAACAAGGCTGAGCATATTTAGAAATAGCAAGGAGGCCATTGTAGCTGGAAGAGTGACAAAAGTGAGGAGGCTAGGGACGTGATCGGGAAACTTGCATGGTCTAGATTCTAAGGCATCAGGGATCCATGCAAGGGTGCCAAGCAGGAAAATTCAGCAAAGGAGGCAACATCATAAAGTGGCACCAGACAGGAGGCCCAGTGTGTTCCAAGAAGATGGAGCAGTCTGAGTCTGACAAGGCAAGGTGATCTGGGGACCGGGTGAATCTATGGGGAGTGGTGAGAGGGCAGGAGATAGGGCAGCAAGACCTCAAGTGCCCAGCTGGAGGTTGAGTCTTTCTCCTGCAGAAGATGAGAGTCATGGAAAATCTGTGAGCAGAAGAGACAGTTAAATCTGCAGGGACATGGGCCAGAGCACAGAGAGAAAAGGACGGGTTCTGAAAGGTTCAGAACCAGTCAAGTTGCAGTGGAACTTTTTCTAGATTCGCCCCATCTCTGACACTCACAGAACCTGTTTTTCCCCGCTTACAATGGCTTAGTCCCTCTCTGTCCCTAAGAGGAGAGGGGGTCTGCAAAGGCACCAAGCCTGGCAGACCCACAACAGGTGCTCACATACTCCCCTCACATGGGGACTGCTACTGAGATTTGCTCCTATGGGGGCCTCCAGAAACACCTATTTCACCCCAGGAGGATCCCCAACAGCTTCTTTGAGCAAGCACGTCAGAGACACCCCAGAGAACTTTCAAGGATGCTTGAACACAACGCCAGAATCCCCTTCTCATAGATCCCAGTCTCCAGAGACCACCAAACGAGTCTTGGAGTACACAGCAACTTCTCCAAGACCCTGAACGACCTCCAAGTTCCGCATAGACCCCAAACTCTCAAAGAGTGCCTGGCCACAGAGAAACATGTAAATGGCCCAGAGGAGGCACACAAACTTCAAAAACCTTAAAAGTCCTTTACAGACACCCAAGAAGCCCTTTCATCTCCCCAAATGCCCTAAATAGACCAAAAGTGTCTGGGCAGCCCCCAGAGACCACTGGTTTGACCCCGTGAAGTCTTCGAGTCCCTGAAGAGCTCACAGAGGCCTCCTACATGACCAAGTCTCCACACATACCTCCAAACACCCACGGCCTCACAATCAGTCCATTCTCTGAAACTCCTATCAGCTTCCCACACACCCCCAAGTTGCCTTCCAGCCCCCTGTTGCCGCAACTTCAAGAACCCTGAAACCTACTTATCTCCCTCCAGAGACTTTCAAGACGTCTCCTGCAGGTTCTCTCGGAATCCCCCCAACGGGTCACTTTCAGGCGCGGGCCCAGTCCGTAGCCACGCCCCCAGTCTCCAAACCCTCCCCTTAGGCCCCCAGGGCCCCCATGCCGCTCTTGCAAGCTCCTTCAGTTCGCTCCCAGGGCGCACCGCCGCGGACAAGGCCAGGGTTGCACTCACAAGAGGTCGCGTCTCGCGGTCTTGCAAACGATGCGCAGGAAACGCCAGCCACCGCTGCCTACGTACACTCCGAGCGCCACCGCTGCGCTCCAAGTCCACGGCAGCCCCAGCAGCCACAGCAGCACCAGCGAGGCCAGGGAAGCCGAGCCCGCACCGGGAGCCCGCATACTGGGGAGGTAAACAGAGCTGAGCCGGCGGGTCGCTCGGGCTCCGCCCCACGGCCAAACCGACTCCGCCCCTAGGTCCCGGCCCCGCCCCCAGGGTAATTTCCGCCCTCAAGGGCTAACCCAGGCCGCCCGATTGAAGCCGGCCCCTCCCCTTCCTCAGGCCCACCTGCTCCTAACCAGAACCCGCCCCATGCCTGAGATTGGCCACATCCTGGCTGGACTCCGCCCCTGGACCAGGACTCCGCCCCTGGACCAGGACTCCGCCCCTGGACCAGGGCTCCGCCCCACCTCGTGCTGGACACAAGCTTCTTTGATCCTAGTCGGGCTCACGCTTCTCTGCCAATCACTTGCGGCCACGCCCCCAAACAAAGCTCTTCCACCCTGTCAGTCACTGTCAAGCTTTGACAGCTGTGGGACTCCGGACCCAAGCTTCACCTTCATGACTTGGCCCTCAAATCTGGGCTCCAACTTGTCCCCACCACAGATCCAGAACCTTTCCAGTCACTCGACTAGGCCCCGCCTCCATGCCATGACCTAGCCGCTGTCCCCAAGGATCCGCCTGTCCCTAATCCTGTCCAACCATAAGTCCTGGGTTTTCCTGCAGGTTCCGTCTCTACCACCCCTCCATTCATTGGACCCCGCCCTCTGGTTAGGCTTCTGGCCACGCCCATAAGCACACGCCCCTCCCACTCTGAACCAGACTCCGCCCCTAATCCTAGGCCTAGACAGCCTTCCCAGTCCCAGGTTCCGTCCTAGGCCGCTGGGACTGCCCCCAAGCTTTGGCCGGGTCACCACACTCTCGGCCTTACTCCTGCCCACCTAGCGCCGTAGGCCCCGCCCCACCTGCCCGCTCAGGCCCGCCCCAAGACCCTCTTCCGACAGGTATGGCTCCGAACCCCTCAACCACATAGTCGAGGCCAGCCCCCTACTGGAGGCCACGACCATAGAGAGGGCCCCTGGGCCAGAGAGACAACGGCTACCGAGACCTGAAAGCTAGAATGGCTCGGCGAAGACAGCCGCTGTCTCCATGACTACGAAGCTTCCCCAGCCCCAAGCTGTGCGTTTAGAAAACACATGCGTCTCGCAGCCGAGAGGTGTGGCTCACAGGCGCTCGCGGCCCAGCCCTAGATGGCATCCAGGATTCCTACACTGGGACACTGGGAAATCCCAGTTCACGATCAGGGGCCTTCCAGTAATGGATTCTTTCCCCAGCTTGTCCGAAATCCAAGCCTCAAAGTCTCTTCGATCTTAAACACATTCCAGGGACCTGGGGAATCCCAAACTCACAGCCTAGGGTCCCAGAAGTGTCTAAATCCAAAGCTAACCTTAGTCTGAAAGATATATTTCAAGGACCCATCTAACCCCAAACAATATCCCAAAATCTTGTAATTTAAGTCTCAAAGTAACATCCTAGGAGCCTAGGGAAAACAAAATCCACACCAGAGTCCTTTATTTGCACCCTAAGTTACTAAATGTTCACTCAGAGACCCAAAGGCCCCCGGCCCCCACCAAACAGACGAGGCCAGTGCTGACCTGGCTGCCCACCATCCTGTTCCCTGACTGACCTGGAGCTCACAGACTCTCAGTCTTGGCCGCTCCCTCACAGGCTCCCAGAGCTCCCAAAAGGCGGGGATGACCAGGCCAAGCCAGAAAACCTCAAATCTAGACCTAACAGGTGGGTCCTCCAAGATTTCTGTTTCTGCAGACTCCTGGGCCCTGCCTTGCCTATGCAATGCCGTTGAGGGCCTCTGCCTTGGATCCCTCTTTCCAAGCTCCTCCTCCTCTGCCCCGCTACCCACCCCACCCCAGCTTGTTTTCTGCCTTGTTTGGCCGACCTTCTCTGTTCTCTCCTTGGGAGGCGTCCTGGGCCTGCTTCCAGCGCCATTTGGAGGACAGAGCTGGGCAGGCGCTCACCCCCCCACGCTGTCATTGGTTCCTGTTGGCCGCCCAGGGTGGGCCGACTCTCTGGGCTGAGGAGGCAGATCTGCAGGACAGGCCTAGAACCAGCCACTGGCCCACACTTTCTTGGCCACAAGTCAGTGGAGTCAGCAATGACTAATAACTATAGCTGGACTCATCCTGCCAAGTAGCACTATTACCCCCATTTTACAGGTAAAAAAACTGAGGACTGGAGCTGTCACTCCAGCTCTGAATTGAAAATCATTCATTCACAAATGTGTATCTGAGAGCTTGCCCTCCCTCCTCCTCCCCTTTCCTGATTCCCTAAACTACTCCTCCCCCTCCTCCCTCTTGCACTGATTTTCCCCTCTTCCTCTACTTCCTCCCTCTCTCCTTCTCCATCCACCTCTCCCTCTTCCTGTTTCTTCCTCCCCTCCCCCTTTCTTCCACTTCCCCCTTTGCTCTCTCTCCCCTACTTCCCTCCCTTCCTCCACCCATTCCTCCTTTCCTTTCTACCTCTCTCTATCCCTCCTCCTCCCTTGTTCTTCTTTTTCCACTTTCTCTTCTTCCTCCTCATCTTCCTCCTCTTCTTCTTCTTCCTTCTCCTCCTCCTCCTCCTCCCTCTCCCCTTTCACATTTCTTGTAATATTGGTTTGGTACTCCTCCTTCTCCACTCTCTCCCCCACTTTCTCTCCCCCTGCCCACAGGCTTTCCCCGCTCCCCCTTTCTTCTCTCTCCTCCTTTCCCTTATCTCATTAAGTTCACTGAGCTCAACTGAATAGTACACTACAGTCTCTTCCAACTCTCCCCACTGGAGATGTGAGTCCTCCATACGAGATCCCAAAATCCAAAAGGCTCTGGAAACCCAGCTTTTACTTAAGGTGGTGTCAGAACTCCAGTGAACGGACCACATACCTTGCGCTGACCCAGGCTGTTTCAGTGAGCATTTGTCCCTTTTTATCCCTGTTTATCCTTTATTTATCCCTTTACGTAAGGGCTACCCCCACACCCCCAAGGACATTACACAACACATGGCAGCTTTTGTCCTCAGTTACTTCTTGAGATTCGAAACATTCCCTATTACAAAACACATGTCGACTCTAAAAATAAAACAGCTATTTCACTAGTGAAAATTGGTTTATTTGGCAACAGCAAAGAATTGCAATGTGGGACAAGCAAGTTTTAGCAAAAGCCATAGGCAGGTCCCATAAACAAAGAAAAGGAACTTCATTTTATGAAGAAAAAGGACGTTATGAAGGGTTGTTTTGAAAGTCCACTGGAGAAAAGTGAGAATTCAGGGAGATGACAGTTTCTCATTCCCTGGGTTACTGTGGATTTCTTGTGAGAAATGCAATGTTCATCTTTTCCTGTTGGGGGTCTGTAATTAACATTAACACCTGTAATTGACATTGAGTTGTATGAGAGCGCCCCCTTATGGCTTCCCCACTCCTCCCCACTCCATTTTTTTTCATCTCAGTGTTTAGAACAGTACACATACAAACATGCACACATTGTGAGAAACTGATATACATAAAGTCATCAGACCATATATAAAAATAGAATTCTGACCCACAGCCTTGTAGCAAGGAGTTCAGGAAGACAAATTTTCCACATTTTTGCTAACACTTATTATTTTCTCTGTGTCTTTTTTTAATTATTAGTTTCATACAGTACATTGGTTAGACATTTAAGTAGTTTACAAAACGATCCCCCTAATTACTCTTTCTCTCCTCTGGCTCTGCACCTAGCCCTTACATTAATACCAACTGAATTCTCTATGTTGTGCTCCCCAGCCCCATGATCATCTATCAACTACTAATCTGTGCTTCTTTAACCCTTCACCACATTCTCCCAGCCCCTCAACTCCCCTCCCCTCTGTCCATCACCAGATTGTCCTCTTTATTTGTGAATCTGTTTTTGATTAGTTTGTTCTTTTTGTTCCTTAGATTCTGCACATAAGTGAAATCATATGGTATTTATCTTTCTCTGTCTGACTTATTTCACTCAGCATAATAACCTCTAGCTCCATCCATGTCATTGCAAATGGTAGGCTTTTGTTTTTGTTAATGGCTGAGTAATCTCCCTACTCCATTTTAGTGAGGTTTCCCTTTACAGATTTTCATACACAACTGTCCCCAGGGATTCCAGATGAACAATTAAGGAACGACACTATACTTACTTCACAGAGGGGGAAACTGAGACCTGGACAAGGGGAGAGAACACAGGCTTCAGAGATAAACCAGGTTCCGCCCCACTCCAGCTGGGTGGCGTTGGGCGAGTCACCTTGTCCCCTCTACCTTGCTTGCCCTCTGGGTGATAACACCCACCTCTCAGGGCGCTGTGTATCAAATATTTATTGCTCACCCACTGCACAAAGGCTGACAGACAAGGGGTTTCTCATCTGGAGAATAAAGGGGCCAGGCGCACAGTAAGTGTGGGCCACAGCCTGATGGGCATCTCCTTCCCTGGTATGACCCCAGAGGCCAGTAGGCCTCAGCAAAGAGAATTCCTCAAACTTTCCAGAAGGAGAGAAATTAAACATACATTGAAATAAAATGCCAAAAGATCGTAGCATGGAAATTTCACTATAAGTAGAACACGAGCATCATGTGAGAATGAGCAATTTCTCTGCCATAGTCAAATGCCCACCACAGTAAGGGTGTGAGCTTCCTGGGGCTGCCATAACAAAGTACCACAAACTGGGTGGCTTAAACCAACACGAATTTCTCCTCTCACAGTTCTGGAGGCTGGAAGTCCAAAATCAAAGTGTCAACAGCGGCACTCCCTCTGGAAGTTCTAGGAGAGGATCCTTCCTGCCTCTGTCTTCACTTGGCCTTCTCCCTTCGTGCCTGTCTTCTCTTCTGTTTGTTATGGCGCGAACGATTCTGAGACCCACGGAGCCAATTGAGATTAATTATGAGCCTTTATTAGCCGGCCGGCGACTGACTCTACCACGCAGGGCTAGAGGAGATCAGCCCCGAGCTTTCAGAGGAGGCAGCTGATAAAGCTTAAGGCCATATCCTGGTGGTCTCCTGAACCAGCAAGCAGATTACAGAAGTGGAAGTTGGCTTTTAGCATATCTTTGCTCAGAACAGCACCCTTCATTAACAAGTAAATGGATTACAGAAGCAGACAAGTAAGACAACTTCTGGTATCTAAAGATATTTCTTCCCGGTAGCTGACTTAGCTAGTTGGCTCACTTGAAAATTTTCCAACCTTAACATGTTGTCACTGAATTTAGTGCCTATCTAGATAATCCGAGATGATCTCATCTTGAGATCCTTAATTTAATTACATCTTCAAAGGCCCTTTTTCCAAATAAGGTCGCAGTCACAGGTTCTGTGGGTTAGGACTTGGTCATATTTCTTTGGGGGCCACCATTCAACCCTCTACAGATGGATAAAGGGTTAGAGCAATGGTTCTCAACTGCCCCCTGCAGACACTTGACAACATTTGTAGACATTTTAATTGTCACAACTGGAGAAAGGGAGAGTATGCTACTAGCACCTAATAGGTTGAGGCCAGGAGTGATGCTAAACATCCTACAATGTACAGGACAGCTCACACACAAAGAATGTTCTGGCCCCAAATGGCAAGGGTGCTGCAGTTTGGAGGTTCTGGGGTAAATAACAGCCTCAGTCAGGTTGGAATTGACTCTACAGCCCGACACACATCATTCACTAGGTGATTTGGCCAGGTGAGTCAGCTTCTCCAAGGCTCTGTGCTTCACCTGTAAAGTGGGATAAAATTACATGACACTTCATCAATATCGTAGAATAGGTCCTCTACCATTGAGATGATTTTACTCTCAGTGACTTCTTGACTTCATAACAACCTGGACTTCCCAGGATTCCAGCAAAGTGAGAAAAATCTGAGCGTGAAATTATTTCTAAATGGAGTGAAACAGGGACTCATCCGAAATGGACCTGTTCATGAAGCCTCGGCAACATGAATTATACTCTTGGGAATGAGGAATTTGCGGTTTTCTTTTCATTGTTTAAAGCCAATACTAAGTTCTTTTTAGAGTCTTTCATATTTTCCTAGACTCTGAAAAATTCTCTAGACCAGGTGTTCTGGTTAGCTACTCTGCATAACAAATTACTCCAAACTCAGTTGCTTCATACAGCAGTGATCAACTATTTCTCAGGATCCCATGGGTTGCTTGGGTGATCAGTCTCTCTGCTGATCTCACCTGACTCGGTCACTCTGTGACATTCTGTGGGTGGCTGAGCGGGAGGATGACATGTGTGGAAGATGGGGCTGTATGTTGGCTGGTTCTCCATGTGAACTCTCATCCAATAGGCTAGAACAAGAGTCTGCAAACCACAGCTCACAGGCCAAATCTGGCTCACCACAAGCTAAGAATGGTTCCAACATTTTTGCATGGTTGAAAAAAGTCAAAAGACTAATATTTCATGACACATGAAAATTCTATGAAGTTCAAATTCAGCATCCATAAATAGCATTTTATTGGAACCCAGAAACGTAAATTCATTTACGTATTGTCTAGAGCTGCTATGCATGACAGTGGTAGAATTTAAAGTTGCAACAGAGCACAGGGGCCTACAAAGAACAAAATATTTACTACCCAACCCTTTACAGAAAAGGCCTGCCAACCTCTGGGCTACATCAGCTTCCTTATTCGGAGCATCTAGAGGCAGCATTCCAAGAGAGTGACAGTGAGAGGTGAAATAAGGTTTATCCTGTAAACTCACACCTTCTGCCACATTCTGTTGGTCAAAGCAAGTCACAAGCCAGCCTGGATTCAAGGAGAGGGGAACTAGTTTCCATCTCTTGATGGGAGGGGACTGCAAAATACTGTGGCCATGATTTTCAACCTCGCACGCCAGGGTATCTTAAGGTGGGCTGTCCAGACAGAATCGGGCGGGGGGGCGGGTGGGGGGTGGCGCGGGAATTCATCTTTACTTTCATTAACTTCTCACTGGAATTTAGCATGCCCTCTCATATCCTGCCAAAGCAGGCATCGGTAGGCCCTGTGACTGCCACCAGTAGAAATCAAAGATAATTTCATATCAAATCCTGGTTATGGCAGACACCTGAAAACACCACTTACACCTATCTCAACTTGGAAATCAATCATTGGTAGAGCCTTTGCGAATCAGGATTACTTAACCCGTTCATGAAGGAGTGTATATTTTTACAGCACATATTTTCACACCTGTATGTCAGTCTGACAAGTTTCCTTTGCAATCCTGTGTATTTTTTTATCTTGAATTTTATTATTATTATTAATTAGTGACATTGGTTAACGAAATCCAGGAAGTTTCAGGTGTACAATTTAACAGTAAGGCATATATATATATTGCATTTGTTTTTTAAATGCATTTGCAGCTGCCCCCTCTGGGAGCCCCTGCAGAATCAGGTCAGAATCAGGTGGTGGTTTAGGCAGATTAGCAAGGTTCTAAACTGGCCTCCTAAGGATTCTTAATCCTGAGAGAGCAGTCAGCCGGCCAGCACACCCAGGACCACACAAGGTCCCTCCACCCTGTCCCCAGCCCCCAAACGGGGTGCCATGGCCTCCCTGTTCTCCGGCCGTGTCTTGATCCGCAACAACAGTGACCAAGATGAGCTGGACACGGAGGCGGAACTCAGCCGCAGGCTGGACAACCGGCTGGTGCTGCTGTTCTTTGGCGCCAGGTCGTGCCCGCAGTGCCAGGCCTTTGCACCAGTCCTCAGGGACTTCTTTGTGCAGCTCACAGATGAGTTCTATGTGCTGCGGGCTGCCCAGCTGGCCCTGGTGTATGTGTCCCAGGACTCTACAGAGGAGCAGCAGGACCTGTTCCTTAGGGACATGCCCAAGAAGTGGCTCTTCCTCCCCTTTGAGGATGACCTGAGGAGGTGAGGCGGGAGGGGAGGTCAGGGAGGGCTTCCTGGAGGAGGGGCTGTTTCTGCTGAGAGGGAAGTATTACTGATGCATCTGCTCCATCTGCAGTTGATGAGCAGCCCCTGTGTGCCAGTCCATGTACCAAGAACTGGAGGGTACACAGGAGGGTGCACATGCCATGTCCATCTAGTCTCTGGGGAGCTTACAAGCTGGTAGGGGGACAGACATGTAACAAAGCCTCAAATATATAACAGCAAACTACAGTAGTGTTCTGAAAGACAAAGGAGGATGCCATGGGTGGCCCTGCTGAGATTTGGGTGTCAGGGGAGGCTCACCGAGGAAGTGGCTTTAAAGAGAGACCTCCAAGGACAGGGAGGTGGGAGGGTAAAGAGTGAGGAAAGGGGAAGATTTCCAGGCAGAGGGCACAGCACAGACAAAGGCTCAGAGGCTGTCAGAGAAAACAGCCAATTCAAGGAACTGCAAGTAATTCCAGGCATGAGAAGTCATGTGGAGCAGTGCCCCAAATGCCACCTTAATGTGTGTAGATGTGATCCTCAATGTAGATGGGAGCCATGGAGGGCACTGGATCTGAGAGATGGCTGGATTTAAGCTTTAAAATGAGCAGCCCGATACACAGTGTTTTAGTTTGTGGTCATTTTAGAACTTTCCCCTTTTCTGCAGTAAGACTTTCATTCTTTTTAATCCCCAATTTTTTATTGTATAATTTTTTCAAAGATACCAAGAAGCTGGAAGAAGTACACAAGGAAACCCACAGCCATTGTCAACATTTTGCCACATTTGCTTTTTCTACATGTGTGTGGAGTTTATGCTAAACCTCTTGAAAGTGAATTACAGGCTTCATGACTTTCTGATTTCGTTCATGTTGTTACATAAGTCTGAAGTTTCTGGTCATGGAGACCTTCATTCTCCACCAAAGATTATCAGAGTTGAGACACTGGCTCACTCTCACTGCCCTCTGCAGCTGACAGGGTTCCTTCCCCAGAACTGGCAACATTGCCCTCCCCGGGGCAGAAATGTCAGCTGCCAGAGCATTGTAGCCCAATGTTGACCTTGTTTAAGGCAGGGTCCTCTTAACAAAACATTCACTCAGGCTAGTATGTGGACAGAGAATGAGCCAGTCTTTACCCACCCCCAATCCCACCCACCCACATGGTTGCTAGATAAAATACAGGATGCCAGTAGAATACAAATTTCACAAAACTATGAATAACTTTTTAGTGTAAGTTTGTCCCACATATTACATGGGACATACTTATACTAAAAATTACTTATTTATATGAGATTCAAATTTCACTGAGTGTCCTATATTTCTATTTGCTAAGTCTGGCAACCTACTTCTGTGAGACTTTGCGAGTGCCCTGTGTTCTCTGTGTGGAGGCCTGGAAAAGGGCCACCCAAGAACCCAGTGGGCAGAAATTAAGAACTGTGCGTGATGGACCCAGCCTGGCAGGCCTCTTTATTCCATGACTGTGTGGGATTCTGGTCTAGAGAGGGGTTTGGTCTGGGATCTCCTTGAGCTGTCTATAGCTTCTCACTGGCTTCTCCTTCATACTGAGAACAAAATTCAAACTCTTGACCATGACCCTGGAGGACCCGATGTGATCAAGGCTGTACCCCAATCTCCCTCTCACCTCAGGGCCTATGCATGGGCTTTGCCCTCTGCCTACTTCATCTTTCCCCCAGTTCTCCCTCTCCTTCTCCAGCAGATATCAGCTCAAAGGTCACCTCTTTGGAAAGGCCTTGCCTTTTTACCATGGTGTCCCTCGGCCCAGATCCCAGCAAGGGCAGTGTACAGGAAAGGCGCTCAGTAAGTACAGGGAGGAGAGATATGGTGTTCCCCAGCTTGAGGTCACTGATCCGCCCGCCCTGCAGGGATCTCGGACGCCAGTTTTCTGTGGAGCGACTGCCAGCCGTCGTGGTGCTAAAGCCGAGCGGGGACGTGCTCACGCTTGACGCGGCCGACGAGATCCGGCGCCTGGGCCCCGCCTGCTTCGCCAACTGGCAGGAGGCTGCAGAGGTGCTTGACCGCAGCTTCCTGCAGCCTGAGGACCTGGATGACCCCGCGCCGCGCAGCCTCACCGAGCCGCTGCGTCGCTGCAAGTACCGCGTGGAGCCCGCGGCGCGGGGCGCACGCGGGCCTGGGAGAGAGGACGGCCCTGAGGCAGAGGGCGAGGCCGGGGAGCTGTTCTGACCCCAGGGATGGGGAGGACCAGAATGGAGGTTCTGGGATGACACCCCTCGAGGAGGGCGGTGGGGGGGGAAGATGAAGGGGCCTATTCTGACGCCCTGGTGGGAGAGAATAGACGGACAAGGGGCGGGTCTATCCTACACCCTTCCTCGCTTCTCTGATGGGCGGAGCCCGGGGCAGTTCTGAGCCCCCAGTGATGGAGGGCTGGCGAGCGGAGGGAAGTCGGTGGTGAGCCCCACGAGACTGGGAGGGGAGGAAGTGGGGCGAGGGGAGGAGACCATTCTGACTTCCAGCCAGGAGGTTGGTACTCCAGCACAAGGCCAGAGTTGGAGTCGGGGGGCTGTTCTGAGTTCCCAGAATGCTGAGCGGGGAAAGGCTGAGCGGTAGGGAATAGGGAGGGCCTTCCTGGAGCCCAACTCAAGGAGGGGATGGGGCTGTGATGAGATCCTGGGGAGAAGCAAGGCGGGACCTGGGGGAGTGTGTTCTGATCTCCGCGCAGATGGCGTGTGGGACCTAGGACGGCACCGGTGGCGGAGGTCTCTATGTGAAACAACCCTCCCTCCCTTCAGGAGGGGGCGGGCCTAGGGCTTGTCCTGGTCCTCCAGCGGCGCGTCTGAGACTTCCGGGACTTCCGGCCGGGGTCTCCAGAAACATTTTTAAGACCTAGGGGAGGTGGGATGGTTAATGGTTCCAAAATGGAAAACGCAAATAAAGTCGAATAATCTGGCTGAGAATGCCCAGCCCATCGTAGATTAAATAGATTGCCCACATATTTCATACGCAAAATTACAGCAATCCTTTAACAACAGATTTATAGTTTAATACGGTGTGCATTTCAAGATTTGGTGCCATGTATGCTGGGGTCCCGGACCACCAGCGAGGATCAGGAATCGCCCTGTCTCTGGTGAACCTGGAATACTCCCAGGGAGAGACAGCAGATTAAAAAAATCAAAAACTCCAGTCTGGAACAACTTCCTGGCTGTGTGACTGTTCTCTCCCACCGGTCACCTCCTCTATCTAAGCCTCCTTTCTTTCTTCCGGAAAGTGACAGTAATGCCAGGTCCTACCCGGCAGGTCATCCAAGAAGCCGGAGCTGGAGCTCTCTCCACTTCACGAACTCCTTCGCTTTGCCTCTGGCAGCAGGACATGTCGGGGGCGGAGTCAAACATGTAAATGAGATGTAAAACCCTCCCTTCGTGCCCAGTCTCCGGAAAGGGTGAGGTGATGTTTCTCTGGGGCTGGGAGACCTGAAGACTGGACAAGTGCTTCATTTCATGGTCACCCTTAACCTCCAACCTCTGGGTGAGGACATCGAGGATCGGATGGATGATCCCATCTGCTTCGGGTTCCAGCCACAATTTTCCCTCTGTAGACCTCAGTCACCTATGTATTGGACCCTGTATGATAATGGCTCTTAAAATCTGTGTATCTAATACTAGGTCACAGGCTTGCTGCTAGCTTTTAGAAGAAAGAGTTTTAAAACGTCCATCTGGAGCACACTACCCATCAATATCTTTACTATTATTCCTGCCAGCACCCAGCAGCCAGCCTTCCCCACTTGGGCAGTGAGACGGGGAGACCATTCCCTGTCCTGTCAGGCTGTGTGAGGTGGGCAAGTCGCTGGCTTCTCCGGGCCTTGTCCTCCCTAGTAAACAAGAGTCATAACACCCCATCCCCACCCCTACCTATCTGGGCTGTAGTAAGGAAGGGACAGATTGGCGCCTAGCCAAGGCAGACGAAATCACCCTCAGAGTGTCACCCACATGCAAGGTTAACTTTCCACATTGAGTCCATACATCCCTAAATTAGAAAGTCACCCCCACATACAAGGGGAAGGGCCAGGTCTTGGTATTTGTGACCTCGCCCCCAAGCCTTCAACAAATAATGATAAACTCTAAGACAGTGCTATTATGACCTTTGGCTGTTGTATGGAGTTGTACCTTTACTTGTCTGGTTGCGTTTCCAACTCTCCACCAGGCCATGAGTCCCAGAAGGGCAAGCTGGGCCTGCCTTACTCACCAGTGGGTCTCCAGAGCCTGGGAACGGATACAGTATGGGCTCCCCGTCAATGTTTGTCAAATGAATAAATGCAACTTTCTTACATCTGTGTGTCTCCAACACCCAGAACAGAGCTGGAGCCTTGTTCCAAATGAGTCGCCGACTCCCAGCTACCCCAATTGGGACTTCCTTACCTGAAAACATGGATAATCATCCTAATTTTGGTGATGAAGAAAGAAGCCAAAGCCTGGTGAATAGATGAATGAATGAACAAATGATGAATGAATGGATTTTGTTACAGATGAGGAAGCCCAGAGAGATTAAGGGACTTGCCCAAAGCTACACAGCAAAGGAGGATGTCACCTGGAGGTATAGGGTCACCCCATAATCTCCTCTAGGGTCATTTTATACATAAAGCACTGGGCTCAGGGCCTTCGTACTCTTCCCAGAAGACCTAAAAAATTTGAAACTTGAAAAAGAAGACCCCCCCAAATCAGAAAAGAGACCTGGAAACTCAAAACTAGTGTGTCTGTTAAATTGTATAGAGCAGTGGATTGGAGCCAGGCTACTGGGTTCAAATACCACCTTGCCTGTGCTAAGCTGTGAGACCTAAGGAGACAGCGCACTTCTCTGCCTCAGCTTCCTCATCTGTAAAGCCCAGGTGATGACTGTACTGTCTTTTCAGGACTGAATGCATTAAGACAGGGCCTTGCTTGCAGGAGGTCACATCGACTCATTCACCTCTATTTGAATCTATCATGAATATGATACCTGTGAAACCATTTTCAGATTTGATATTTCACACTTTGCAAGAATTCCAGAGCAGGACTACAAGGTGGTTCATTCATTCAGGGGTGCAGCAAGCATTGATTGAGGACCTGCTGTGTGCTGGGTGCAGTCCTGGACACTAAGGGAACATGTTGGTGGACCCTTGGGCAGATATCTTGCTCTCCTAGAGCAGTCCTCAGCAGGGGTCCTCAAACAGTGGGAAACCATAGGGATTCAATTAGGGAGATACAAAGTGCTTCCAGGAAACAAGAAGACAAACAACTGGATTCAAAAATAAGTAAAGAACGTGAACAGACATCTCTCCAAAGAAGAGACATAACAAGCCCATGAAAAGATGCTCACCAGAAGCCATTAGAGAAATGCAAATCAAAACTGCAGTGAGATAGCACCTCACACCCAGTAGGATTGCTGTATATATATATATATATATATATAT